GGCTGCCTTGCCTGGTACTATGCCGTAAAAAGGTGTACTTGCTGGTGTAATCATCCCGGCGAGTTGTGGTCCCATCTTCCTTAGTGTTTCTGAAAAGATGATGTTGAGTCCGGCTCCCCCGTCGATTAGTACTTTGGTGACAGTCATACCAGCAATAGTTGGATCTAGCACCAGTGGATAATGGCCTGCGTTTCCCACGCTAGTCCATTGGTCTTCTCTGGTAAATTGGATAGCATACTGTGACCAATTGAGATATCTTGGAGTAGCCGGTTCTGCTGTCATGATAGTCCGTAGTGCTAGTTTTTCTTGATGTTTGCTTCTGCAATCTGGAGCCCCTGAGAAGATCACTGCTATTGTTCCCCTGGGTTTTTGGAATCCTTTGTCCTCATGGTTGTCTTCATCTTTTTTCTGATTGTCCTCTTTGGTGTTCCCCTTACTATCTTTTCTTGTGTATCGATCATTGAAAGTGTAGCAATTTCCGATGGTGTGCCTCCCATTAGGGTGCAATGGGCAACGTATGTTTTCAATGTCATCATATCTTTTGGGCTTGGAAAACTTCTTTGATTTCTCGGCCATTGCTACGGTATTGTCTGGTCTACGTTTTCTTTCTTGATGTTTTGCTATTTCGATGATTTTGCTTGTCCGGGTTGTCCTGGTTGCTTCTATCCGGGAACCTCTCTCATGTTTTTTCTTCTGCAGAAATCATCTTTTCTACTGTTCGTCTGAATTCTTCATTGTTTCTCGGATTTTCTTTGCAGAAGTCTTGAAATTGCCACCTAGCCATGATTCCATGAGAGAAAGCTTCAATTACTTCTCATTCGGTGATGTCATGCACTTGAGCCCGTAGTTCACCGAATCATCGATAGTAATTTCTGAGACTTTCGCCTCCCTTCTGCTTGAGTCCTTTCAGTTCTGCATAAGTGATTGGGTGTGTAATGATTCCTGCGAAATTTTCACAAAAAGCTCTTTGCAAGTCCTCCCAATTTCTGATAGATCCTGGATTTAATTTGTCGAAACCATTGGAGGGGCATGGCTTCCAGTGCCATGGGAAAGAACAGGGTCTTGATATCGTCGTCTCCTCCAGCTAGTTCAATTGATTGTGAATATATTCTGAGCCATTGCCTTGGTTCAGTTTTGCCATCATACTTAGAGTGGTTAGACGGTTTGAACTTGTGAGGTAATCGTATTGATGCAAGCCTGTTCGCAAAACAGGGGAATCTGTCGTGCATTTCGGCTTCTTTGAATTCTGATTCGGCACCTCCTTCTGGCCAACTGTTGTTTTGATGGGAATAATTCTGCGAGGCTGTCTGGGTAGGCGCCCTACTCCTGGGTTTTCTTGGTTGTTCAAATCGGTGGCCTTGATTATGATCCTTCCTACTTCCTCTGTTATGACTTCCATCTGGCCCAAGTCTTTCGAAAGCGGACTTCCTTTGATTTTGATCTTCTTGCCTATGGGTTGTTGATCTGGCGGGTAGTCTTGATTGGGCTCTCTCTTCATGCGTTCTCGGGATCGTCGACCGAAGCAAGTCCTGGAGCTGTTCATACTTCTCATCGGGGTGTGAAGTTGCTCTGAGTTCTTCTAATGCTTCTCGAATCTTATCGTAAGGCGTATTTGCCGTGCGTCTTCCTTCGACTTCTCGTTGTGATTTTCTTCTGTCGTATTCGGCCAACTCTGACTCGTATCTGATCCAGGCTTCCCTGCGCTGCCTAGCACGGTGTTGGTGCCCTTGCTTCAACTTGTTTTTTCTTTCTCTAGCTTGTTTCTGACTCTCGGTTTCTCCATCGTAGCCCTGGGCAAAGGGTGATATGTTGGATTCTGATTCATCTGATGACCTGACATCGGGTGCTTCTTGGGGATTTAATGGTGACCGAGGGCGTCGAACCATGAATACTTCCCGTGCGTGAGCCGTTCTGTTATTGGCGTTAGTTTTCATACTGTCGGAGTTGTTGATGACTTTAGTAGATGCCTCGATGTCGTAGATCGAGTCTCCTTCTTGGTAAGGTAGAATAGCCGTCATCGTCGAGTTGTCCAGTCGGGTACTGTTATCCTCAGGAACAGAGTCTGGCTAGTGAACGATGCAGTCTTGAGATGTTACAGTCAGGACGAGGCCTTCTTGAGCTCCCTTCAGTGGCATTCTTAGTACTGGATCGAGGACTTCTCTGAGCCGTGCCTGATAAGATGTTGCCATGTTGAGGAGTCCGAGTGGAGGAAGATCCGACTTCTTGAAGGGGTTCTGCGCGTACTCCGAGTTGTATTCTTGATAGGTCAGGGCCGCGTTCTTAAGTCCCATCGGAAAAGAACTCGGTTTCCCGAAAGGACTCGGATAAGACTCCAACTCGGATGCGGATCTCGAATTCGAGTCGGATGCGCAAAGCTGCGGAACCTGAGTTGAATCAGACACTATGAGCTGCGCGAATCTTCCAGAGATTTGATCTGTCGTGGTCGTCGGAACAGAATAGTCTTCATGGTGTTTCGAATCTTCGAGGAGACGACTTTGGAGCTTGCCATTGTTGTCCGCCTCGCAGATCCATGAGCCGAAGATGAAAGTTGATCCCGTTGAGAAGATCATGTTGTTGAGGTCCATCGAGCTCTTGGATGCAAATTCGCCGAAAGCCCCTACCTGGCGCGCCAGCTGTCGATGTTTCACCACCGATAGCTTGCCACAGGGGTTCCCGGGGCAGTATTGTTCGGGCTTCAGCGTATGCGGAACTCGATGGTGAACGCAAGAGACAATCGATTTATCCTGGTTCAGGCCCTCGACTGTGGTCGAGTAACAGCCCTACGTCCAGTCGGCATTAGCCTTTGCGTTGAATTGATTGTGTTGTAGAAATCGTGATCTCCCTTCTCTAGGAACCCTGCCCTCCTTTATATAGTCAGGAGGTCAGATTCCTAGTCGGTTTACAATGAGAGTTCCTAATAGGATTATAAAATAATACTACTACTAAGATTACATGGGGAGAATCCTAGTTAGACTAGATCTTCTCTCTTCCTTGCGGGGTATCCTGTGGGTCCCGCATCGACAGAGCTAACACGGACCGGACGCGACACCTGTGTGTCCGGTCCAGCGTCCGGTCATCATCCAAGTCTCCATTCACCTCAAATTTTACAAACTTTGTGAACGACATCGACTTCAACTGATCTATGGGCTGTCCTTGAGCTACTTAGTGCTAAGTTTGTCAAGTGTGCACCACACCTAAACTATTAGACTCATCTAGGTCAAGCTACTAGTTCATACCTCCTTAATAGTAAGGCCAAAGAAAAAGAAACAAAATCCTAAACTATTCTAAATGTCTCTCCAACGCCAAACGACATTTAGAACTAGTCCGTCCTTAACATTATCGTCCATCCTTTGAAAACCGAAGCGATTTCCATCGACAGGGGCATGAAAACCATAATTGCCCGATCAATCACCATTACCATGACCTAACTCAAGTTGACTCTGCAAAACATATGTTAGTCACAGTAATCTTGTGTCGTCATTAATCACCGAAACCCAACTAAAGGTGTAGATGCTTTCAGTTTACATGTTCATCGCTTCAATACATATTGGCCCCTGTTGCTTGTCTTAAAGTTTGGCTTGTTCGACTTGTTTTTTCAGCCGGAACAGTGTTTTTCTCTCATAACAATTCAGCCGGAACAGTGTTTTTCAGCCAGTTTCAGCCAAAGTTCAGACCAGCGAACGGGGCCATTGTGTTTGCAATGATTTGATGTTAGTCAATCCTATTTTTTTAGAAGTTTGAAAAGGCCCCGTTCATTAGATTGATTCAATCAGAACTTAAAGGTAAACCAAAATTTGCCACATAACAGTATATAATGGATCAAGTAGCAGTCTAGCAAATAGTACGTAGGCCTGGCAAACTCAGTTAAATTCGTAAGTTTGTGATCAGAGAGAGTCAAGCAATCTGGATCGAACAGCATATATGTATATACACCCAGGACCGGTGCTAATTCTTCTTAAGACCTTGATTAGTTCTTCTCCGTAAAGTTTACTCTCTATCCTATCAGATGTTTGAACACATATATGGAGTATTAAAAACAATAACTAATTACACAGATTGTGACTAATTTGTGAAACGAATTTTTTTAAGTCTAATTAGTCCAAGATTTGACAATGTGGTGCTACACTAATCATATGCCAATAATGAATTAATTAGGTTTAATAAATTTATCTCGTAGATTACTGAGGACTTCTGTAATTTATTTTATTATTACTATTCGAACACTCTCATATGACACCCGATGTGATGTCCCTAAACTTTACTACCTGAATTTAAACACCACCTAGATGCTACTCTCTCTACCACAAAAAGAATAAAAGTCTCACTTATCAAGAAGTTAAATAATCTAAATTTGATAAGATTTATATATAGAAATAGTAGCAGCATTTGTATCTTTAAATAGATAGATTTATTATGAAAACATATATCATAATTAATAATCTAGCGTACTTACCACGTATCATAAATATTGTACTTTCTTGTAAATATTTGATTATATATGAAATTATTTTACTTCTCGGGAAACAAGATTTCCATATTTTTAGTGACGGAGTACCTAGTAAAAAGTAGCTGAGCATTGTCTCCGGATATGCTCCAACCGAACATCGGATTATTTTGTTTGAAAACGTGCAAAAGTTGCCTTACACAAGGAGTCCACTACTTGATCGTTTCCTGCTTCAAGTCATCAAAGTGATAAGCATCCTCTACTGTACACATATTGTTATATCATTCGCTACAACAACAAAGGCAAGTTGGGTTAACATTGACATCATGAACTCAGATCACCCTACTAGTGACGCCTTGCCTGGCAAACCTCTTATTGTATGCTTGCACTGGAACCTGTAAGAAACAACATGAACTATTAAATGGGATTGACCAAAGTCAGGGCAGAAAATTAATTGTAGCTAGAACATAGTTATTGCATCAGGATTCAGTAACAGCTTAAAAAGAGTTAACCGACGTGCTTTCCCTCATCCAGAACCATCAAAACACAGAAGTTACTATTCAAGTATCAAAGCCAAAGTAGATGCAAAATCAAATAATTTCAAAAACAAAACACTGTTCATCTGTGAAACAAACTTGCAGTTTGACAATGCAGCCCTGAATCCTGATCCTATAGAACGTACGGAAATAATTTGTCATGAAGTATGAGAAGACATTACATTCAACACTGTAAAAGGTATGAAAATTGTGGAATAATCCCATAGCTGAATCAATTGTAAGATGATATCACAAAAGGAAAATTACCAAATAACATCTGAAAGAGAAGATTCTGAAGTGGAACATGGGGCATCAACAATTGGCATATGGTGCTGGTTATTCCCTGAACACACTGATTTGATGCACTTTATATGCATTTGAAGAGGTACAACCTGAGGTGAAAAGTTTAGGTTCATGGAATCAACCTTGGGGAGTAGCTATGTTACAGAGTAATGCTGATAAACACAGATGGGTTATGTAAATTAATGTTGACAAAAGAACAATACCTTTTTGCTATAACGAAAATCACGCCTTGGCAGGAAATCCTGCGGTAGGTTCAATGTACTGGGACATCTTACCAACAAAAATAACTTGCTAGGTCCTTGAAGAGAATACAAATGGAAATGCAGCAAGTTAAAAGTGGTCTGTCACCTCAGCCAAACATATATAGCAAAAGAGAGGATACAATACCTGTGTAGGACAAACTCCCTGCTCCACATGATACAAGAGCACGGATAGCCTAGAAATACACGAGTTTTTTATCATTCAAAGAGGACAAATTCTAAATAGATGCTGATAGTATAAGAACTCATGAAGTCACTCCATGTATTCATGCCTAGGAATGTGGCAATATACATGACAAGGTTCAACTACTTAGCCATATGCTGAATTAGAATTACAAACCGATAATCTGTCATAAAGATAACAAAAATTTTAAATATTGTTGTTCAAGTAGAGACAAAAAGGTATCATGTTTCGGATTTCCCATGGATACAACAATGAGATCTTAAGTGGATGGTACTCAATACTTAACCAAGAACAAATCATAAAAAAATAGAGTAATTCTAGATCCAGGGAAAAATGTTGGCGCAATAGTAGCTCACCTTCCGAGAAACAGATTGAGCTAACTTGGTTAGAGCATGCTCTTTGGCACTTCCTGAATCAAAGATACCATGAGAAATTGTAATGTCATAAACAAATAGGGGCCGTACAAGGCTTCCTCCAAGGATCAGGATGACTCCTTCAACGCTTGAAACTTCATCAAGTGCTTGCTGAAGAGAACAGAGTAAGGTAGAGATGCCATTCATCAACTTCTCGTGCTTCTTTATTCTACATCTAACCTCCCTTTTTCGCATGTTGTACCTTCTCTGATCAGATGGTTTGAGTTCAGCCGGTTGTAATGTCATTTCTGTCTAGAGATAGTTATAATTCACAAACTGGTTACTTTCCAAAATAGATGGCAGTAGGAAAGTGTTTACTGAATGCTGAAATTACCATTTCCTCCTTTAAACTTGCAAATTCATTTTCAAGACTCGGCAAAACCCTGGCAAACGAGGAAATTTAAGACACACTCCAAATTCATTTGATAATTAATAGCACAGTACATACCGAGCCTAGCCTATCTTACAAAAAGAAACTACTATGTTTTTCAATTGTTATGCATGGATATATATATTCAATAACACTCAACACAGTAGCCCCAGGCAAATAAGGTTTTGGAATGCACAATTTGAATAACTCAATTAGTAGTCAAATTGTTGGGACAGTGCTCCCATGAAACAAAATCAGAAAAACAAACAAAAACAAAAACAAAAAACCTTGACCCGCAGGGGTATGACAGCCCCCGAGCATCCTGCTTAAGAGCTTAAGGTAGAAGGTTAACCTTCTCATGCAGGTCAAGAAAATCCCCGAACCCCTGCCTCACCCATACACAACGGCACCGTTGCCCATGTGAGAACCTGGGCCGGTCCTTAGACCTATGCTTTGGTGTGGGACAGACGAGGGGATTTTTTTAATCCCAATCCTAGCCTTCACTCCCACACGGAGTTGAACCCAGGACCTGAGGAGTGCTACTAATTCGGCTAGGCACGGACTGCTAATGGCCAGGCGTACAGGTGTAGGGAGCATGTGTCCTATGTTTGGTACTACAAACACAAACACAAAGACAAATCAAGTACTATTCAGATAATACATATCAGAACTCCAAGCTCCACATGTACATTGTTTTTCCTTGAGTGTGCTATTAGTACATTGTTGTTAGTGGCTGTTGAGCATCGACCCTACTCAATGGTGTCAGAGATATATACACTTCATCAAGAACTCAAGCACCAAAGAGAGTAGTCATATAACTGTTTGGACAGTGCCTTTCTTGTGAGCGACCTACACAATGGTGTCAGAGACATATAGTTCATCAAGAACTCAAGTACCAAAGAGAGTAAGTCTTTCTTGTGATTATTACAGGAAATTTTTGTCTGCATGTGAGCACACTGTGAAACTCATTGAGCATGAAAACCAAAAAGGGAATAAAACTCAACCTACAGTACTTAACAAACTACAAACTATCACCATGAGGCATCAATTGGCTATATTCCGAAATAGAAGTAAATCAAGACAGTTTCGGCTCAGGATTGACAAGAAACAACACAAACGATAGTAAACGACAATAGAGATCAAACAATATACGCACAAACCAAAAAAAAACTGAGATTGGGGAGCTCAGCATAGATCCATAAGCAGGTTCCAAATAACATACCTCAGCAGCCAGGACAAGACAATATCAAGAAACATTCAGCTAAAAGAGCATGGACAAACTAAGAGTACATCTGAAATCAAGGTGTATCACAAAATTATACAGAAGCAAGTGGCTTAATGTGCAAACTAAATCTCCCGGTTTAAATAACTATCCAATGAATTTCCCAGTAAATCAGAGTTCAACTGCATGTAATGATCTAATCCACTATAGCCTGTCAATCCAAAGTTGCCATTCCGCTATCAGGCGAATTGCTCCATAGCATAAACATTAGAGCGTGAACTGATCCATCGTAAAATAAAGCTAATTCAAACCCTAGTTAGATTAACTAGCCTGAAGTTTGCTCTAGGCAACCATAAGCCTAGGTTCAATCCAATCAAATCGATCAAAACCAAAGCCGCGCACGATCAGATATACAACGAAAACGCAATATCAACTGCGGCAAATCGCTCGATTAGACCGAAACAAAGAATTTACACCGAAAACAACCATATCCGCCATAGATTCTACCAAATCCCGGCATTGCACAGGAGAAAATAGGGAGGGATATATCGGGGATTACGAGGGGATCTGGTGGTGCATGTAGAGGACGAAGCCTACGAGCTCCTTCACGACGTGAAACACCTCTGACCGCCGCAACGCTGCCGCCGCCGCTTGCACCTCCACAAGTCCTATACCCCGCTGCTTGGCGCCGCCACCTCCGCAGGAGGAGGTGTCGGTCTCCATCTCGTCGTGATCCCCCCGCCCCGCCCCGCGCCGACCGCCGACCGTTAATAGGAATTCGAAAATTTTGGGAAGGTTTGAGCAGACCTGTTGCGTTGGGGGATATAAAGTTCTATACTCTATCTGCTCGCAAAAAAAGTTCTATACTCTATCATTTTCTTTTCCAAAAAATGATTTATACAATTGTCGCTTTTAAAAAAATATCCAGAAAAAAATTCTGATCGAGTAAAATACTATCCTCTTGTCATACATTCCTGATGCAATTGACTTAGTATTTTGGTCTTCTGGTTGTAATTTTGACCAATATGTTTATTAGAACATTTAATAAATACATCGAATCATAAAGTATTCCGACATAAAGAGTCACAGTTGATTTTTCTGATTCCAAACTAAATATCCTGTAAACTCGTATATCTATGGCTTCGTCGCTTGTCTTAAATTTAGCTTGTTCGGCTTATTTTTTCAGCCGGAACAGTATTTTTCTCTCACAACAATTCAGCCAGAACAGTGTTTTTCAGCCAGTTTCAGCCAAAGTTCAGACCAGCGAACGGGGCCTATATCTGAGTTGTGTTTGCTCTGCATTAAGGCGCATGTAATTCTCATGATGGTAGGCCTCTTATTGTCGAGGAATCTATGTGGTGCTAGGGGTGGCATCACAGATACATTTTGGGTTTGCTTCTCAGAGTAGTTAGTCTAGCCTAGCCTTGCCTAACTTACATGAAGCACGAGCACCTTGTCTAGGCGGGAGAGTCGATTCGGCTCTCTCAGCCCAGCAAGGAAAAGCTCGCTCGCAAAGGTCCACATGTGGTTAGATAAGAGATCAAACAGATAAGTATGCTCCCTATCAGTTGGGGATTTGACCTCAAACAACACAGCCCCTAAGACTTCGGAGTTTGGCTAATGATTTTTCCTTCACAGCGCTTGTATATAGGAGTACCTTAAGTTCGAAGAAGCAAGGAAAGATGGCGAAGGCACCTTCACCACTTCGCTCAACACGTGAAGACAAAGATTGAAGATCGAAGTGGCTTGGCTCACTTCACCATCAAGGAAGAGTGGGTGTGAAGTTGCCTATGTGCACGCTTGTCCATCGGCCCAATGTCCGCGTTACTGGTAGCAAGTGGTTGTGAAGTTGTCTACGTACATGAATTGAGTAGAGCCCATGTATCATGAGTATAAGAGAGCTGGAGTGTGAGAGGGTTAAAGCATCAACAAATTTATAACAAACTACACACTATCTGCGTAGCCTGCTCGCTTCGCCTTGCTGCGCCTGCAACAGCAATGAGATGCTCGCTCGACCAGGTGAGCTGATTTGGCTCTCCTAGAGGAGGAAGCCAAATCTTGCTCGCACGGTCCGTGAAATGCCTAAGTAGGAGAACCAAACAAACGTTGTCATTTTGCTATCCTCGCTGAGTGTCGGTGTTTCGAGTTACCACCTATGAGTAAATTTCTAGTATTGCGCGTCTGGCTCGGATGGTGTGCTTAGAGGACACGAGGTTTATACTGGTTCGGGCAGAAAGTCCCTACATCCAGTTCGTCGATGCTGCTCGTGTTACTAGCACTAAAAGTTTGTAGTAGGGGTTACAAACAGGTGAGAGAGGGACAGGTCCCAAGTCTCTAGTGAAAGGAGTAAAAGGGTGCTGAGAGCTCGGTTGCTCCTCTTGTGTGTATCTAGATCTGATTGGTTCGAGGTCGGATCGGATCCCCTTCATGGGACGCCCTACTTTCCCTTTTATAGGCCAAGGAAAAGCACGGGTTACAGCGGAATAAAAGATAAGAATGAGAGAGAGAAGGAGTCCTTCAGGATCGTCGGATCCTTCTTATCCTTCATGCGAGTCCCACCGACCCTGTAGATGTCAATAGGGATAGCTCCATGTCATGGCCCTGTCCATCACTGGCGCCATGCGCAGGCGTCGTCTGCCGGTCATGGCCTTCCATTCTGTCGCAGTGGACATCGTGGTGAGTTGACGCGCCTGTCAGCGTTCGTATGTGGGTTAGGCAGAACATCACCGGTACGCCCGACGCTGTTCCTGATGTGAATCCTTAGGCATGGCCCGTTGTGGTCACGGGTTACATTGGGGCATGCCGGTCTCTTCCTTGGTGTCAGAGTTTTGACCCAGGCCTATACGCTTGGACCTGGAGTGGTTGGCGGCGGTATGGGTCTCCGTCAGGTGAGACGGAGCTCGCTCCCAAAGGTCGAGGGAGGCATAGCGTAAACCCAAGCGTCGAGCGTGGCGGAGCCCGCGGCCTTGGGGTATGGCGAGGCGGAGCCCATGGCCTCGGGGTCGGGCGAGGCGGAGCCCGTGGCCTCAGGGTCAAGCGAGGCGAAGCCCGCCCCCAGAGGTCAGGCGAGGTGGAGCTTGCACGCCTGAGGGTCGGTTGGAGCTGTAGTCGTGCTCTTGACTACTCGGATGAATCAATGTTGATGGTCATTAGCTCCTCCTCTTTGGGTACCCTAGTATTGGTCCTCGATAGTAGCTCTCGAGCCTGCGGAGGAGTAGAATACTCCTTCGGAGGCTTTTCTGAATGGGAGGATTCTAAGGGCCTTGGTCTTCTTTTGTCGCCCATGGCGTGACCTGGGGACGGTGATTCCCTTTCGTCATGATCAGACCCCTCGGGGGTATAGCCGTGAGATTTGGAGGGTCAAAAAAGGTCTTTTCCTGATTTTGACCCCTACAGGGGTCTGTCGTTCTACGCTCGTGCGTTTGGTCTCTGTGTGAGTCCAACTTTCCTCGAGCCCTTGCCCATAGCAGGGGTCTGGTCGAGGGTCAGCTCGTCTTCCCTCAAGAGTTTTTTTTTGATAAAAATGGAGGGGCTGAGCCATGCCATGATTTTCCTCTATGGACGAATCATGGTGCTCAGTGAGCTATTAACGGGCTGGTCTGAGTGGGTTCCCGACATCTCGTTCGCGGGGATCCAACTTGGGTTAGCTGGCGACCGACTCAAGATTCTCAGCGGTCAATCCATATAGTTCTCGGGTCCATTCAACCGGTCCTGAGGGCTCTCTGCCTTTCTTCAAGAAAAAACTATGGATCGTATCCGGCCGAGACTCGAACGTGGGCCGAGATGCCCATGGTGCAAGTGCGCCCGTGTACTGGCCGCTAGCGGCCTATCCCTTTCCACCCCTCACTCTAAAGGTGCCTAGAGCGGTTGTCGAACCCATCGGTGGGCCAACCTTCGAACTCCTGGGCCTAGATGGGCCGCAGTAGTGTTTTCAGCTCCGTATCCCTCTTACCTGTGATGGGTCATGGCCTGTTCGGGGAGGTGAAACATCCGACGAGTTTTCTGAGGGGATGGCCATAGGTTGCGTGCGCGCGCCCTGTGGCAAGACATGGTGACAGGTCGTGGCAAGCGTGGAGATCTAGGTGGGCAGTTGGTTTCCTCACACCTGTCGCCCTATAAAACCAAAGGGTTAGCCCTCTGAGTTCCATACATTGCATCCTTGCCTCCACAGCCATGCCGCCATCGCCATCGCTGAGGTTTCCTGCCTCCGTATCTCCGCTGCAATTGAGCCCGCATCCATCTGCCCCCACCTCCAATGGATCCGTGGTGCCATTCCGACATCACCTTCCAGCGTATGGAGGGCCTCATCCATCGCGGTCTTCTCCGCACGCAGACCTCGGGCAAGGAGTGGTTGCTGCCCAGCGACAAGGATTTGCCGCACCACCCGACGGCTACGTGGTGTCGTTCACCCACTTCCACAAGCGTGGGCTTGCGACCCCCGCCCACAAATTCCTTCGGGGGCTGCTGCACTATTACAAGATTGAGCTGTAGCATCTCAATCCCAATGGGATCTAGCACATGGCGGCATTCGTCATGCTGTGTGAGGGATTCCTAGGGATCAGCCTCCACTTCAACTTGTGGAGGCATTTCTTCGCCGTCAACCTCCAGAAGAAGAGGGAGAAAAGCGGCAGGCAGGAGCTGCACATGCCGATGGGGTGCGTCGGCATCCAACTTTAGAACAATCGGGTTGGCGAGTACCCGTCCATGTGGCTCTCGATGTCCAACAAGGGGTGGCACTTGCAGTGGTTCTACCTCAAGAATGATGTCGCCGCCCCTCTACCGGAGTTCACCGGGCGCCTGATCGAAGAGGCCCCGGAGCAGTGGAGGAAGTGGGGCATCCTAGAGAAGGACAAGAAGAAGATCCGAGACCACATCGCTGCCATCCACATCCTGAAGGAGAACGGCCTGAAGGGGTCAGGCATCATTGGGGCTTAACACGCAAGGAGGGTGGTGCCATTGATGACGCACGCTCTCCTGCTATACGCGATGGCGCCCGAGGCTTCGTTCAATGTAACGGTGCTCGCCGAGGGAACGCTCCCTAACTCTGAGATCATGCAACGCATCAAGGAGGCAATGGAGCCTTTGTGGGATGATGCGGGTGCCACCCTCGACTTTGTATACCCGGTGCCGGGGCATCCTCCGATGCGGCAAGAGCCAGGCTGCATCATCTTTGTAAGTTTCCCTTTCTTTTGCCTTCTCTTCAATTGATTTCCCGACCCCATGATACCAACTTTGAGAGGGGCGGGACTAGCCAAGGGATCTCATCCTCATGGACCACCCGACGCCGCTGCCAAGGGATTCGGCCGTGAGGACGGCAAATCACACCGAGGGCGAGTGGCTGAGGAAGGCGAAGGAGGACAAGAAGAGGAAGAAGCAACAGAAGCTGCAGGTGCAGGAACGAGGGGAGGACACCGATGACGATGATGACAGTGACTATGATGAGGTGATGGAGGGAGAAGAGATGGTAGCCGATGATATTGAGTGGGACAACCTGAAGAACGAGGATACGCTGACAGGCGTCGGTTTGTCCTTGTATGCATCGGGACCCTTCTCGTTCTATGGAGGGGAGCGCACGTCTAGGGAGCCAATGGAGGCGGGCCGTGCCGTGCCGTCGGCACCCCCTAGGAACCGGTGGAGGCGAGACGTACCATCGGCATGCCCCATGAGCCAATAGAGGTGGGCGGATCTGCCGTCGCACCCGAGGTACCAGCAGAGGTTGGCGG